TTCTGTATTTTCCAAGTCTCCTATAAAGGTATTACCATACTTTCATAAATTAAAATATAAAAAGAGAAAAAATAAAGAAATGCTAGATAATGAAAAGGATTTTAAATTGATGATAATCTGTTATGCAGAAGAAGCACATAACATTAATATGTAGGAGAAGACAAAAATACAAACAAGGACTTAGGCTATAAATGGAGGTATACATAGAGCCTAAAGGAAGGAGTGTAAATCCACTACAGGGAGAGCCTGAGGAGGGCACAAAATCACTGTGAATTTAGTGGTGCTACTACTTTGAAAAATGAATAAAATCTGCTGACTGTGGGATGAGAGGAGACTGCGTGAAGAAGAGGAGAGGAAAGATATTCCAGGTAAAGAGAGAACAGCACAGATTGCTGAGGCAATGTCCAAAAGACAAGGATCACAAGAGGAGAGCACGTAGGGGGTAGGGCAGCTGGAGCTGGGCCATGCTGCTTCCCGTAAGCGGTGGGAAAGCCTTGGACTCGCACTCTGCTAGCACGGCAGCGCATTGTAAAAGAACAGGGAATATCTGGATTGAAGACTTGACAGAGTACAGATACATATGTGTGTGTGTGTGTAGATATATATATTTCTATTTATACATGTAATAAATATAAAATACATGTTTTAATACTTAACATTAATAGATGGGTAACTTAATACTTTTTCTCCCCTGTAAAATTAAAACCACCCCAACTAATTAAGCTGAAAACATGTTTCTAAACTGGCTAAATTCAATAAAAATACATCCATTCACAAAACCAAATTTTGTTTTCTTTTGAGTAAACAAAAATAAAATATATCCTGATACAACACTCAGGAAAGTATCCATTTTCAACAAAATTATCTATTTGGCTATCTTGAAACACGTTTATGACAAAGCATAATTATGTATCTATATCTTTTCAATATTTCTCTCCTTTAGTAGTTAACATTAAGAGATTACCACATCTCTCAAAGCAAATTGCTGCCATTTAAAACACAAGTTTAGCAAGATATGAGATGATTTTGCCTATCAAACACACCAAGATTGGTATTTTTCCTATCTTGAGATAAATAAAAATATTGGTTAATATTTCTTTAATAGTTAAAGTTATGTTATTTGAACATTAAGGTACTTTGCTCATTTGAGGACATTTCTTAGCACCAGCTGCTGGGTATGTCTTTTCTCTGTTTACCCTGATTTCACAACACTGTTTAGCCTAGAGGACATACCTAAAGGGAATAATCTAGAAAATGTTTTCATGAATCATTCTTTTAAAGTAAAGAAGTTAAAAAAAATAAAAATAAAAAAAAATAAAGAAGTTTTAATCACCTGACCTTGGTTTATCCATTTCTAATAGTTAAGTATATATATATGCATAATATAATACTTTTGAATTCAGAATCCTGACCCACATTAAAAAGGTAAAAATTATAAACAATGCCAATTATACAAATTTGCCACAGAAAATAACACTCTACAATATTTTCAAATGAAATCTTGTCTTTAAAAATTCAAAGGTAACACATTCCTAGTATTAACCAAGAATAAGCATGATACAGAATAGACCATTTTCATTATAACTATTACTAGCAACAATGCAGTTACACATAAATGTATAAGCATTTAAAAAGAGTGTCTTTGAAATGTAAATGCAAAAAGTCAACTCTACTTACATTATAAGTTTAAGACTAATAGAACACTGAAGAGAACTATGAGAATATAAAAGGTCACCAACGTTTAAATACTGTGCGATGATTCACTCTTTAAAAAGACAGTGAGTTTTGACAAATTCTAACCATAGGGACAGATATTTTTCCTGCCAAACCACTTCTCTCGTTCATGGTGCAAGCATGTTATCTCTATTTAGTATGATTGTTCCTTGTTCAGGGTAACACAGGCGACTGCATTCAAATGGCATTTACCATAAATTGCACTGATCTGCCCTATAATTTCATGTTGGACTGAATTAATTAACTTCTCAGTAGGTGGCTGAGGTACTGAACATAAGCCTAAAGAAATATTTGACTGCTTAACCTACCTTCCATGAATTGTCTCTAAATCAAGGCAGCTTCCATTTTAATAAACAGTACCAGGTAAAATATATTTAGTAGGACCTAAAGGGTAAGATAAGGCATTTATAATAAATGGATTTAGTTTCCCACAAACATGCATGTCCATTTAAAAGAAGTCAGGGGGCAAGGCAGACAGTTAGGATTTAACAAAACTAATCAAGAGTTGGCATGCCTGATATTTTTGAAAGACTGTTTACCTTAGGAGGTATGCATTTATATTAACAAAATGCCTTCTTTGTCCTTGCAAGATTTTTAATAAAAAGCTCACTACTTTGTAGCAATTAAAATACTACTGTAATGCTGTTTTAAGTAATTTATATCTCAGGGCTTGAAATGTAAATGTAATTTTTAAAGATATTATCAGATCATCTGCATTATAATATCATAAATACCTATTCTATTTATGACTCTCCAATTATAACATTATTAAAATCTGACAGCTAACTCTTTGTTTCAAGTTTACAGTCTTCATATATCAAGAGGAAAATTAAAAGGACAAACAAGGAATGTGAAAAGTCAGCTCATAAAAAAGCTGAAATGTCTTTTATTACGTGGCATATTTTTCTCTGTCATAAACTTCCGGCTTAGGAAAATGAGAAAACAAATAGTTCTTTTGACAAACTCCTTGAAAAAGGGCTTAACTTGGTATTTTTAGATATTAACTGTGGAAGAAAGAAAAGCAGGGAGGAAGAGAGGGAGGAAAGGAGCCCTAACTTGGTATTATACCTTTTGCTGGGAATGGAGAGTGGGAAGAACTAACACTTAATGAGTAGCAGTTCAGAAGAAGTACAGCTGAAGACTTCAGCCTGATTTTAAAGGCTTTATAATATAGAGTAAGATGGGACCCCAGAAACAGTCTGAATAATTTTGGGGGGAGATGGCCCTTGGCCAAGCTTCATCTAAATGGTTCTAGGAAGAAAGGCTTCAGCCTTATTTCAAGGTGCCCACTGAGGGCACAATGTCAGGTAATTTCTCTAAGAACAAATTCTGGTTCCTGTACCATTTGAATCCTTCTTGATAATAACACGCATAAGCAGAAACAACAAGAATATAATTTGGAAGTTTTAACACTGGTTTATTCTAAGGAAGGCTTTAACTAAAAAAAAAAAAAAAAGAATGAGTAGATGTCAGTTTCAGAAACAATTTTTCCTGCACATCTTCTAGCTCAGTCATTTAGTGGCAACAAGAGTCATAAATGCTGTCAAAAGTAGCAGTGAGGTTTAAAAATAAAAATTTGAACAATAATATCCTGCACATTTTTAATATGTCATTTACTGAATTGGCAATCACAACTGAGATTTATGAGAGCCTTCTAGTTAGAAAAAACAAATTAATCGTACCTTTTTAGGTTTTCATTGTCTCTAAATTTTATCAGGCAAGCATACAGGATTTCCTTCTCATCAAATGCTATGTCTGTCTTGGTGTCTCCAGTCACAAGAGACCTTTTGTATCATTACTCCCTTGAGTCCTAATTCTTACTAGGAGTCCTGGGCAAACACAAAAGTAACCTGGCAGTTACATTATTCTACCTAAATGAAAAAAGACTCTGCTATCTAAAAATAATGAAAGGATCCATTTAAATTAATGTTATTTTTTGTGAAGTATTCATTTTACTTTGTAATAATGTAATTCTGATTCAAATAGAGTTCTTATGAGCTTTAAAAAATCTCTAGAGATTATATACAGGGCAGTAATTTAATTCTTATATTTTCATTTCTTACAATGATATTTGAGATTTTTAGTGCTGCTGCTGATAGCCTATGGAAACTATTTGGAAATTCTGATTTTTAAAACTGTCCAGCTTTTATTTATAAGAAGCATAATTATTAAGAAAGAGGGTTTTTTTTGTTGTTCCTTTAAGGTATTCATTCTTTTGCTATTTAGTCCTCACTTGATTTCATAATTCTGTTTGTGTCACTATGATTAGCTGCTATGGAAATTACCTCCTATGGAAATGATTCCAATGTCATTATTGTAATAATATGACTTTAATGGCAAATATCAATAGCAGACAGGAACCCCTACTAGAAAAAGGAAATCTAAATAATATTTTTAGAAGGATTAATTCTGAAATTATCATGGCCAAATTTTCTGATATTTTTAATAGATCATCTGCTTTTTAAATAAGTATTAAATAAATTTTAAGGTGTTAACAGCTACCCATTTCTCCAAATGCCAATGTCACAATGGAAATTAATACCATGCATAGAAAAGTGAAAGTGAAGAACATTTCATCTACCTGTTACCTAAACTTAAAAATGTTTTGCTTTACATATGAAAGGTAATGTCAACAGGATTTCAGGGATCATCAAGGAAACAACTTTGAATAACACATTACATATTCCCTTTAAAGACAAAGAATTTAATATTCCAAAATTTATCCCAGGAATTTGAAAGGTCAGTGAGTTAACTAGTGAATAAAACAATAGATGAGAGCCAGTGGACTATTAGATGAGAATTCCAGAATGCTAAGAAGAAATCTTCTTGGGTGGATTCTATAATTTGTGGTTTGAATAAAACTTTTGAAACATTCCATTAGTATTAAAATTCTCACAATGAGAATACGGCTCTTATTTAACACATTTTAAACTACTAGACAATCTCTCCCCAAAGAAATGTTAATGCTTTCTTCTGCCTAGTGCTTGTTCACCGCCTAGTACTAATTTAGGAATAAATTAACCCTTCCAACAATTGAGATATTGTCTAGAAACTGCCTTTTATGCTCTGCTAGAGAAATAACTTCAATTCTGAAAATCACAAAAGAGAAATCCATTTCTTCATTATAAAATATTTTATACCTACTAATTATTTATATAAATCACTATCATATTTACTACATAATTACATATTACTATATCTATAGGGCTTCTAAATTAAGCTTCACAGTTATAGATTTTTTAAATGTTTTATACATTAAGGGTTTTCTATACTTGTGTCCGCCACCATGATCTAGGGTCCAAAATGTCTTTGATAGATTTCTGCCTTGGAGCTGGTACTGGCTTGGCTTCAATATTGGTTTTAGTGTCCGTGTGTTCACCACCAGTTAAACTACTTTTCCTGGCAGGAAGAAGTTTTCGAGGAGCAGCCACTGGTTTCTGTAAGTGATGCATCGGGGTTGACAGTTTGGTATCCAAAGGCAAGGTCTGAGATACACTTGTTTTTTCCCAGTTGCCCTGAACCAATTGATTTTTGTTGCTCTGTGTTTTTAAGTTGAATGGAGCTTTATCAGAAGGAGGAAGGGGAGCTCGTCTCTTTTTCCCTTTCTCTTCATGTAACTGCTTGCTTGCAGGAGATAATACCTCTTTCTTGATGACAACTTGGTGATTACCATCAAAGAGTGCGGCCCAGGAAGGAGGTGAGGCTTCTTCATGCTGGCCAATTTTTTTTTGTATTATACCAGTTAAACTTTCAAGTTTCATAGGTGAATCAATGCCTGTAATAATTATAAGAAAAAATACATTGAACAAATTCTGAAGCAGTACACCCTTTACCCAAGTAAGTTACTACATTATGTTATCTATATAATAGTTATCCAAACCAGACCAAAATGAGTGTGTTTTTTTTTAATATGATTACTTGTAAAAATAACCATACTAATGGAACCAAAAAATAAGAATATCATGTACTGCATGCATGCACACACACACATACATACCCATGCATAAGTATATTCCTAAATATATGTGGAAAATCCAGTTTTCAAAGGAGTAGAGCTTCATCAGAATTTTTTTGAATTCTGCAGATTAAGTATTTATTAAATAACTTTCATGGGGTTTAAAATCTATTCTGACTTATAGGTAAGAGTGGATTCCCTTTTATAAACCCCTGATACATAAAATGGGAAAATGTAACTGGATTAGTATTCATTCCTGTAGACCAGTAAAGTCTCTGTAATAGGGAAAAAATCCAAAACAAAACCCCCATGGAAACAGAGTGAAGCCTTAATACCACTTTGGTGATTTTCCTTGGGAAAAATGGGAGACATTTATGTCAATTACATGATATTTTCAAATGTGTAAGCTCAAATGTTTCATTTTAAATCCAACATTTAAAGAATATATGCAAGTGCAGGAACATTGGTGGTAAAATACACTAAAATTTAGCACTGATTTGTGCTTGTTCACAACACTGCTCACTGAGGCAATCACACAAAGATAAATAAATATACTTCAAAGTGTGGGGAAAATGGAATATTTATGAGTCTAGAAATCTAAAATTTTCCAAAGTATTAAATTTAACCAATTTTTTTGCCTGAGAGGAAAGCTTCCATTTATTAATATTCATTTATCAATACTACTTTAAAACAAATTTATAAAATACGGGAAAAATTACTGAACATAATTATATTTTAAAACGTCAAGGTTTATATCTTCACAATTTTCATCAGCTACTCAGCTAATATTTATTTTCAGTGTACCCTTATTCATTTTGAAGTCTTAACATTTTTGTTTGATCTTAAGCATTCAAACTATGAAAACTGTGTATTCATTAATTTTGTATTAATTCATCTTTTAAACATGAGTTTCTTAGTCTATAATCATAGGCTTTTTTCATTCATTTTTGACTGTGGCTTGAAAATTTTAGCATTTTAATGTCAATAGAATAAGCTGCTTGTATAAGGACAATGTCGTTTTTGTTACCCTGAAGCTTAGAAAAGACAAACCCCACTTACTCATATCATGGTAGACTGAGGCTGCCTCTTTTGTCAAGAACAAAGGTGGTTTCCGTGGTGACATAATCTCAATTTTCATAAGTTCCTCACAACAATGCTTCCATTGGCCTAAGGAAGAAAAAGGTAGGCTAGTTTAAAACAAATGTGAAATATATATTTAATTTTAACAGATTATCAACACGTTTTTTGCTTTGAAAAAATAAGTGAATTCATGAAGTATTATCTTAAATAAGCTATAAAAACCTAGCTCTACGCATTATTTCTAAGTCTAGGCACAAATGTACTCTATTTTAAATATAAATCTCTATGAACAGATATTAAGCTAAGCTCTGTAGGCTAAATACTATATTACTTCTCTAAATGGTCAATAAATAAAATGTTTATGGTAAAAGTTTGTGTAAGTTCTCTTATTTTAAATATTATATAAAAACATTCAAAACAGTTGAAAAGTAAAGATTAACTGAAATATAGTTACCTGGAAGGAAGCAGAAAAAAATATAAGTAGTATTTCTCAGAAAATGATTTTAATTTTTAAAACTTTAATTAAGAAATAAGAATTGCTTACAAAAAATTCTTTTAAGATGATAATCATGCCCTCCTAAAAATCAGGAAAACTAGAAAAATGATGTATTTTCATTTTATTTCAGGTACATAAAAACCTGTTACTATAAAGACAGATCACTCAAAATTCTAACTGGATGTGATGGACTTGAGTTTGAGTAGGCTCCGGGAGTTGGTGATGGACAGGGAAGCCTGGCATGATGCAGTCCATGGGGTCGCAGAGTCGGACATGACTGAACTGAACTGAATTTATTTTAGGAAGGACACTTTAAATAAAGACATTAGGCATTCAAAGTAATACTCAATAATAAAAATACTCTTGAATAAGTTGTTTTAATTATTCAAATTGAAAAGTGTGGCCCATATTAATTTTTCTTGTAATTATGTTTTACTATGTTCACCTCAAAATTAAATTCTCAGATTTATTTCTCCTGAGTGGATATAAAAAATATTTAGCATTTCTATCTTTATTGTGGACTTGTACGCTGAGGTTTACCATTCTTACATGCTAACTTACATTAGCAGAAAAGTAAATGTAATATACACGTGGCTTTTTATACTGATTTATGATATGTATTTCTTTTTATTATATTCTCAACCTCTACATTCAACATCCAACTTATTTCCCCATGGCTTAAAAATTAAAGATACTTCATGTTTACTCAAAGTATTTATTTTTGTTATTTTATGTCTAATTTATGTCATGTTAATATGGTTGATATATATATTTACTTTAAATCCATCACTTTAAACAGTTAAGAAATATTAAAAAAAAAAAAACCCTTTCAGTACGTTTTGTTACAATGCTAAGTATAAAATATGGTAAAAAATTTCAAAATATCTCATATAGCAATATATAAAGGGAATAAAATCTTGAGTTTAAACCTTCAAAGGTTGCTCTGTAGAATTTAAATCTAGTAGGATCTGAGATTTGATAATTTATTCCTCCTTTCTACTTCCTTTTTTAGATAAATATAGAAGTGCCAGCCTTTTCTTTTGGGGGGCAGGAAAAAAATGGCCTTATCTAATGGAAAAGTAATGAAACACTTTAAACCAGCAAACAATTCTCTGTCAAATCTTAGACAAATAACATAGTACAGCATTGTCTCAATATTGATAGTTGAAAGCTTTTCATTGTTAAACTGATAGCACAATACTATGTTGAAAACTGCAATATAAAGTCACATTATCCCATGTGTTACACAAGTCAGAGATATAAATGTGGCATGTTCACTGATCAAGACATTACAATTAAACACTTTACCAGTAAATAAATTAGCAAGCATAGGTTTATGTAGTATGAATATGCTAACAATAAAGGCCCAGTATGAGATATTTAATGGGTACATTTTGCTCACATAAAATCTGTATATTGAAGATGTTTCCACCACATATACTATTATAATGCTCCCATTCAAAATAATCTATTATGTTAAGCTGCTTATTTAACTTAGTATATATTATCAAATATTTGAAAAAAATCTTTCACTCACTATTCCAAGCAGTAACCTATTTGATCACCTAAAACAGGTGTCATTCGTCTTTTACATGTTAGCACTCAGATATTAAAAATTAGCTATTAACTCCCCCCTGCCTCCTAGCCTCCACTCCTCAAGCTGTCCTTCCACAGGTTAAACACACCAAGCTCCATTAGTGTTTTCTCATGATTTCCAGTTTTCTCACCCTCATGGTTTTCTACTCTCAAGCTAAGTCAAGTAATTGAAATATGTTCTAAGTATTAAATTACTCTTCCTTTATTCTACCCTAGATATCTATCTTCTATTTTGTTGCATACATCATATTTCACTGAAGATTACAAGAGGCTACACTTATTACTAGGAGAGTAAAAATTCTAAGCACAAGTCACTCTTTGGGATAATATATGCACTTCCATTTCTTGCTTCTGATCTTCATATCTTACACAATGAATTCTAAACAGCAAATGTAATACTATTTATACTTAAAAAATTAGACTGGCAGATTTTATCTCCAAAGCATTAAATACTAAAAAAGTAGCCAGACCTGAGAACCTAGTCATCATCACTTAATTACTTTGACAGTACAAAAATGTTATGAGATTCTTTAATTTTTATTGGAGTATATTTGCTTTACAATGTTGTGTTGGTTTCTACTGTACAGCAAAGTGAATCAGCTCTACATATACACATATTCCCTCTTTTTTTATTTCCTTTCCATTTAGGAAGGAACAACTTCCTAGGAGCAACTGAGTAGAATTCCTTGTGCTATACAATAGGTTCTCATTAGTTATCTGTTTTATATGTAGTATCAACAGTGTCGATACCAATCTCCCAATTCATTTCTCCTCAAATGTCATGAGATTCTTACCCCACCAACTGCCTCTTTTAGCATAATAAGTTATTTTACATAATTTGAGGAGTGAAAACATGAAATCATCTAACAGTAGTTGATATTTAGACTATACTATTCTCACATTTTTACTCCTTTTTCTTGTTTTTGTCTACACAAAAATTTTAAAATGCCAGTGTGTGTGTGCATACTAAGTTGCTTTGGTCATGTCTGACTCTTTCTGATCCTATGGGCTGTAGCCCACAAGAATACTGGAGTGGGTAGCCATGTCCTCCTCCAGGGGATTGTCCCAATCCAGGGATCAAACCCATGTCTCCTGCAGCACCTGCACTGAAGGCAGATTCTCTAATGCTGAGCCACTGGGGAAGCCCCTAAAATGCCAGAATCATTTCTAAAAATAACACAGTCTTCTATAAGACAGACTCTATAAATCAAGAGCAGTTAGGAAAGCAGTTAAAATTTTAGCTGTAATCAGCAAATGAGAGGAAGTTGTTGTCTTTTAAGTTACATACCTAAGACCAGCTGAAATTTTAAAATAAAGAAATGCAGTACATGCAGGTAAATGTGAAACAAATATTTAAACATCTACTAGTGTTAGTTGCTCAGTCGTGTCCAACCCTTTGCAACCCTGTGGACCGTAGACCACCCTCTGTCTATGGAATTCTCCAGGCAAGAATGTTGGACTGAGTTGCTATTCCCTTCTCCAGGGGATTTTCCCAACCCAGGGATCAAACCCAGGTTTCCTGTATTGCAGGCAGATTCTTTACCATCTGAGCCATCAGGGAAGACCATTTAAACATCTACTGAGGGCCAACAGACAATACTTAAGGAAAACAAGTTCTGAAGAATCCAAGAAAGCCCTGGAGGGAGTCCTCTGATGCCCTGCAATAAACCTGAAACCTATTCAGGCTTTAATTTTCTCATCTTAAAAGCAGAGAGAAATAATTTCTACTTCACTGGGTTGTTATAAAAAATAAATGAAGCCATATGGTATTTGGAAGCTAATCAATAAATTTATTTCCCTTTTCTGACCCCTCCCCAACCATCACTGTAATAACCGGCCAAGCCATGGATCAGAGTATGCTTATAAAAATTAATCTGAGGACTGCAGATATTAACTATTTTAGAGAGTTCTAAAATGTCTAGGATTAGGATCTAATCCTAGATCCTAAAATAACTCTAGGATTATCTCTAAGAGCTGCAGAAATAAGTTCCTATTGTTTAAAAATGGTTTTACTTCGCAATTCTATAGAAAAGTATCCTAAAGACATAAAATACTGGTTGAATCTAACAATAGGCTTAGTTTGCTTAGAAATAGCCATTATCAATAGTCTATATTTTCAATATACAGTTTCACTATTTTTGTTGATGAAATTCTTCCTTAAATTGAGAATATTAGAACCTCATATATTTACGTACTATAACTCTGCTACATTACTATCACACTGTTTTTATAATCCATGTCATTGAACTGTATTATTGAAACTGAAAAACTATATGAACTGTTTAAAAAAAATCTCTTTGGATGATGTCCAAAATGATATAATGAATCAGGAGTTAACAGAAGTCTACCTAAAAATGAATCTCCTTCTGAACATTTCAATATTTTATGATCATCACTATCCTAGAGAAGTTTTTTTTACTCATATAGCTTATTATCCTTTTGATCAGAGAGATTGCCTTAAGCCATTCAACCTAATATTCTGAGAAAATGTGGTTTACTTGTTTTAGGGACCAGAACTTAAAAGTAACAGGCAATGATACTAGGAATTCCCAGGTATTATCAGTCATGCACTGGGGAAAAATTGACAGAAAAAAGCATCAATGCATCGATGATACACTACCATTTTATTCAAGAGCATATAAATTCTTAATACAAACTATACAATTGTAATTTTAATATTTAGTTTGCTATGTACATCCTTTCATGCTACAAGAATATACTACTAGAGAATCCAAATGTCAGCTTACTAAGATCAAAGAAATGCTGCCAGAAGGCTTCCATCCACTTCTGAAGATCTTCTCTATTGTCAGCTGAAAATATATGAGTTACAGCCTGTCCAGCAACAGGGTTGATGACAGAGAAATTATGAATTCTTTTCGTTTTATCCTTATCCACTGCCCGAATTCTGGTTTCCTAAAAATTAAGACAAAATTGTGTTTAACAAGAGACTATTTCTGTAATGATCAAATAAACGTTTTATTGCATAGCTACCATGTTTATACCAGATGCAAGTACAATCTTATTGCTGATCAGTTGAAATCTAAAATATGTAATTTTGAGAATTTTCAATATTCAAGTTCAAATCAAGAAAGTTTTTAAAAAATACATTAAAAATACTGAGTAATATCTCAAAGTATACTACATGTAGCACCAATATTAAATTACATGAGATTAAAACATAACCTCTGTAGATTTCTCAGTTTAAGTAGGAGTTTGCTGTCTTTTATAGACATCTTAAATTTTGTAATAAAACAAGTAAGCATGTTATAACTGTAATGAGTTAACTGTATTTCCAACAGTAATAAAATAATAAGTAAAGTATGTTTCTTATTCTAATATTCACTCATAGAACACAGTGTTATCAGTTAAAGCAGTAAAATCATAACATAACATTTACATAATGTAGTAAAGTTTGGCTTTCATCATTAACATTTATTTCATATGTAACATTCATTTACCAAGCTCATAGCTAAAGATCCACAAAGTAATATAAATTTGAAAACGGTAAAAAATTACTTTTTAAAATGATGAATGCACCACTTTATAACAAAGGCAACAGCTTCAAACATGCTGATAGTCTAAATCTTTTCCTTAAATTTTTTTCAGTATTTATTTTTGGCTGTGTTGGGTCTTTGTACTGGACGTGGGCTTTTCTCTAGCTGCAGCAAGCGGCCGGGGGGGGGGGGGGGTGTTAACTCTTCATTGTGGTGCATGGGCTTCTCACTGAGGTGGCTTCTCACGTGGGGGAGCACAGGCTCTAGGCAAACAGCCTTCAGGAGAGGCAGCTCTAGGGCCTTCGAGCACGGGCTCGGTTGTTCCATGGCATGTGGATTCTTCCCAGATCAGGGATGGAAACCATGCTTCCTGCCTTGGCAGTCAGATTCTTATTCACTGTGCCACCAGGGAAGTCCCAATCTAGGAAAAAGGAAAGTCCCTTTTTTCTGAGTGGTAGTAGGTATGACACTGTGTGATCCGTCTTGTGTTTATGGGCAGAAGAGACTACTCCCAAGTCACATATATGCATTGCTATGTCACGTGATAAGCTAGCAACTACAAGCAGTTTCCAGGGAACCATGGAAAAGAAGTCTGAAATAGACCTATTAAGCAAAGATAGTGATCTGGCTTCCTGGATAATGACTGACACTTACATTTTTCTAGCGCAATGCTGTTCACTAGAAATATGTTGTGTGCTCCATAAGTAACTTAAGATTTCCCAGTAACCAAATTTAAAAAAGGTAAAATGAAACTAGTGAAAATAATTATGTAATAATTAATATATTATTTTAAAATAATATAATTTTGCAACCCAGATATTGAAAATATTGTAACATGTAATTGACTAAAAATGTTGAGATATTTTACATTGTTTTACTCACACTAAAGTCTCAAAAAATTCCAGTCTATATTTTATAGTTACAATATATCTCAACTTGGACTGGCCACATCTTAAGTGCCTAACAGCCACAAATGGCTAGTGGCAACTGTACTAAGTAGAGCAGTTCTAGAGCTGGATGGTTAAGCCTACTGTAATGAATGCAGAATACTTGGCTGGCAGTTACAAAGGCTGATTCAGAGTGGGAAGAAATTATTCACTTTACACTGAATATAGAATGAAGAGAATCTGTGTGTAGAGTCACACACCAAAACCGATATATACATTTAATGATGTCCTATGTGGACATTTTAGAAGTAGCAAAGAGTTTGAAAGAAAAGCTATCCATTCCCTGACAAACAGGTAAATATGAGCAGGCAAATACCATACAGACGACATAAATTCTTTTCTGAAGGAACTCCTATTTAAATATCACGAGAAAAAATGTATGCCATATAAAGTAGTTCAGTTCAGTCGCTCAGTCTTGTCTGACTCTTTGCAACCCTATGGATTGCAGCATACCAGGGTTCCCTGTGTATCACCAACTCCCAGAGCTTACTCAAACTCATGCTCATCGAGTCAATGATGCCATCCAACCAATCATCCTCCGTTGTCCCCTTTTCTTCCTGCCTTCAATCTTTCCCAGCATCAGGGTTTTTTTCAATGAGTCACTTCTTCACATCAGGTGGCCGAAGTATTGCAGTTTCAGCTTCAGCATCAGTCCTTCCAATGAATATTCAGGCCTGATTTCCTCTAGGATTGACTGATTGGATCTCCTTGCAGCCCAGGGGGCTCTCAAGAATCTTTTCCAACACCACAGTTCAAAAGCATCAATTCTTTGGTGCTCAGCTTTCCTTACAGTCCAACTCTCATATCCATACATGACTACTGGAAAAACCATAGCTTTGACTAGACGGACCTTTGTTGACAAAGCAACGTCTTTGCTTTTTAATATGCTGTCTAGTTTGGTCATAGCTTTTCTTCCAAGGAGCAAGCATCTTTTAATTTTATAGCTGTAGTCACCATCTGCAGTGATTTTGGAGTCCAAGAAAATAAAGTCTCTCACTGTTTCTGTTGTTTCCCCATCTATTTGCCATGAAGTGATGGGACCAGATGTCATGATCCTAGTTTTCTGAATGTTGAGTTTAAAGCCAACTTTTTCACTCTCCTCATTCACTTTCAACAAGAGGCTCTTTAGTTCTTCTTTGCTTTCAGCCTTAAGGGTGGCACTATCTGCATATCTGAGGTTATTGATATTTCTCCCAGCAATCTTGACTCCAGCTTGTGCTTCATCCAGCCCAGCATTTCGCATGATGTACTCTGCATATAAGTTAAATAAGCATGGTGACAATATACAGCCTTGATGTACTCCTTTCCCAATTTGGTACCAGTCTGTTGCTCCATGTCCAGTTCTAACTGTTGCTTCTTGACCTGCATACAGATTTCTCAAGAAAAAGCAGGTCAGGTGGTCTGGTATTCTCATCTCTTGAAGAATTTTTCACAGTTTGTTATGATCCACACAGTCAAAGCCTTTGGTGTAGTCAATAAAGCAGATGTTTTTCTGGAACTCCCTCGCTTTTTCAATGATCCAATGGATGTTGGCAATTCGATCTCTGGTTCCTCTTCCTTTTCTAAATCCAGCCTGGACATCTGGAAGTTCACGGTTCATGTACTGTTGAAGCCTGGCTTGGAGAATTTTGATCATTACTTTGTTAGTGTGTGAGGTGAGTGCAACTCTGCAGTAGTTTGAACATTCTTTGGCATTGCCTTTCTCTGAGATTGGAATGAAAACTTAACTGGTAAATGGTGAGTAGAAGGACGTGTGCTCATCTTCTCCTGTGAGAACTCCAAACCTACAACCCCTTGCTGAACAACTTTCGACTGCAGAATGTTGGATCCCACCAAAAAAGATACCCCATGTCCAAGGGCAAAGGAGAAGCCCCAGAAAGACGACAGGAGGGGCGAAATTGTGTTTAGAATCAAACCCCTTATCCACCAGAGATGCTCAGAGGGCTCAAACAAACTTTGTGAGCACCAGGACACATAGACCCCACAGAGACTGAGCCAGAACTGTGTTTTGAGTGTCTCCTGCAAAGTGCCTGCCGCAGGGGTAGGGGCTCTGGGTACAGCAGACCTGCATATGGCATAAGCCCTCTTGGAGAAGGTCACCATTAACCCCACCATAGAGCTGCCAGAACTTAACACAGGACTGGGGAAACAGACTCTTGGAGGGCAGAAACAGAACCTTGTATGCATCAGGACCAAGAGAAAGGAGCAGTGACCCCACAAGAGACTGACCCAGACTTGCCTGTGAGTGTCCAGGAGTCTCAGGCAGAGGCGTGGGTCAACAGTGGCCTGCTGCAGGGTCGGGGGCACTGAGTGCAGCAGTGAGTACCTGGGACCTTTTGAATAGTGGGTCACCATTACCTTCATTACCTCCACCATAGTTTGGCCTCAGGTCAAACAACTGGGAGGGAACACAGCCCTGCCCAACAACAGAAAATTGGATTAAAGATTTACTGAGCATGGCCCCACCCATCAGAACAAGACTTTCTCCCTCAGTCAGTCTCTCCCATCAGGAAGCTTCCATAAGCCTCTTATCCTTATCCATCAGAGGGCAGTTCAATTCAGTTCAGTTGCTCAGTCATGTCCGAGTCTTTGCGACCCCATGGACTGCAGCACACCAGGCCTCCCTGTTCATCACCAACTCCCAGAGTTTACTCAAACTCACGTCCACTGAGTCAGTGATGCCATCCAATCATCTCATCCTCTGTTGTCCCCTTCTTCTCCTGCCTTCAATCTTTTCCAGCATCAGGGTCTTTTCAAATGAGTCAGCTCTTCGCATCAGGTGGCCAAAGTATTGCAGTTTCAACTTCAGCTCAGTCCTTCCAATGAATATTCAGGACTGATTTCCTTTAGGATTGACTGGTTGGATCTCCGTGCAGTCCAAGGTACTCTCAAGAGTCTTCTCCAGCACCACTGTCCAAAAGCATCAATTCTTCAGTGCTCAGCTTTCTTTATAGTCCAACTCTCACATACATACATGACTACTGGAAAAACCATAGCGTTGACTAGACAGACCTTTGCTGGCAAAGTAATGTCTCTGCTTTTTAATATGCTATCTAGGTTAGTCATAACTTTTCTCCCAAGGAGTAAGCATCTTTTAATTTCATGGCTGCAGTTACCATCTGCAGTGTTTTTGGAGCCCCCCAAAATAGTGTCTGCCATTGTTTCCACTGTTTTTCCATCTATTTGCCATGAAGTGATGGGATCAGAGGGCAGACAGAATGAAAACCACAATCACAGAAAACTAATCAAACTGATCACATGGACCACAGCCTTGTCTAACTCAATGAAACTATGAGCCACGCCCTGTAGGGCCACCCAAAATGGATGGGTCATGGTGGAGAGTTCTGATAAAACACGGTCCACTGGAGAAGGGAATGGCAAACCATTTCAGTATTCTTGCCTTGAGAACCCCATGAAGTAGTTAAAAGCTTTGAACTTTTCAAGTATAGTAAAACATAAGGATTGGTAACTT